ATGTATGTATGTATGTATGTAGGTGGACTAAGGGCTTTTTTCTGCTATCTGAACGCTTCACCTGAATTCAAGCAAGGCGAGCGTTCGGAGAGGACTCTACCACGGAGCATGGGAAGAACGTATGTATGCAGCTTAACATTTTATAAACATGTATCGTATAATATAACTACACTAAATTTACGTATCTGCTGCATGTCGATCTATCTACCTATCTATCCATCTATCTGTCTGTCTTTTGGTATCATATACATGTGTATATATATATATATATATGTATGTAAAACGTGTATGTCATATGGGTGTCTTGGCAGTAGCGATTCAGCTTTGTCGGTTCTGATGTTTAGCACTTTTTGTCTGGTCAGGGAGGGGAGTGGGTGGCTGCAGGGTTTGATGTCTAGGGCTTCCTGGGCTTTGTTAATTCGGGAGAAGAGGAGCGAGGTGGGGTGCGAAAGCACGAAGCAAATTCCTACGGTCCCACAACCTACCCCATACTCCATACCTTAGAAAAACAAGATGCCAAATCCGAACCGTTAAAGCAAGAACTGGCATAAACCCTAAACAAGGTGTGTGGCTTCAACCTACTTGGGACTTCCCAGCGCAGGCCGCCAAAGCTGTAAACATCACAAACAAGAGCTCTTTCACACAGCCATGATTCCACCCTCCAAAACTCCCTGAAACCCTTCACAACAGTAGTGGCACAGCGACAAGATTTTCCTCGTACGTAGATACATGCAAACAAACTCACAAAAAAAAGATCCAGATGCCAACTTGAGTTTCTGGAACCGAAAACCAAGGAAACAAAAAGACTGGGCCTTGGGACTGCGCTGCTTGGACCTCCGCGGCCGTGGGCTCCGGCGCCGGCTGCGCGAACGCGCGGGGAGACCTCGAGGAGTTTGGGGGGGGTGTTGAGCTTCTTAGTCTTTTACCCATAGGCCCCATAGTAGTTCCTTTTTGGGGTTACCTTATAGGATTCTATATATGAACCCCAAAAAGGAACCTCTTTTGGGCCTATGGGTACACTCTCACAGCTGGGACGATCCAGGCGAGGTTCATAGATAGCAGCTGGCGTGAAACCAAGTACTCTCCTTCACCGCTTCTTCGTCTTTAGGCTTTAGGGTTTCAGGGTTTAGGGTTTAAGGGTTTATGTAATCGGGTCATAATGTTTTGGGATTAGGGCAGAGCTTTATCAAGTTCTACAAGCCGTTGCGGTGTCGAGACCTTGACCCCTTAGGCCAAGCACAACTGACTTATGACCGAAGTGGCCGTCGAACGTTGCACCACGCTTTACTCCATGCCTGGCCTGCTACCCAGCAGAAGTCCAGGAGCCCGGCTTTAGGGTTTAGGATTTAGGGTTAAGGGTATAGAGTAGAATTATCAGGTACTCAGCTTTCAGGCTTCAGAAATTACGGCTTAAACTAGTTAGGGTGTCTGGGCCTTCATGCTTGAAGGTCTCTGTCCGACACCCCTGAGCCGAAAGAGGGCTGAGGCTTGCAACCTCTTTGTCTAGGACATTTTCAGGTGGGTAGTTACCGTTATAGGAGCCTTGTAGAAGGTCTATATACCTTATAGAAGCCTTATAGAAGCCCTTTTTAGCCTAAACCTAAACTCCCCACCTGTAGTTTCCTGTGACTTTGGTTCTTAGTGGTCGGCTAGCGCGCCGGCTGCGGCTGCGGGAACGGCTCTTCGCTCCTCAGCGGTCCGTCGCAGTTCTATCGGGCTTGGCCTGAGTTCCGATAAACTGTACAACTAAGTTTCCCATTGTCATCCTCTAGAAGACGGCCTCTAGTGACTCTAGTGAATTACGGCGGGGGACTTGGGTCACGTTTTGAGTGTCTGTTAACTTGCATTATACCTCTCTGTGCCGATTCGGCGGATTGTTGAAGCTCTAACGCTTGGCGGGCTCTGCACGCGCCCCGAAATCCGAAACAAGCCTTGTTTGTTATCCAAGCTTGACTTGGGGGTTTTCGAAAATAGGGGACCCTAAAAGAGTACCCAAAATAATAGGATCCCTATTATAAGGACCCCAAAATAAGGTACCCCTTATTTTCGGAAACCCCCACTTGGCTCAGTCCAATCCGACACACTGAGCCTGAACTCGAAGGTACGCCCCATCTCGCGGCACAAGGCCTTTCTCAAGCATTTAGAGCCTCTAGATCTGGATATTTAGGTAGTGTTTCAAAAGGAAAGCTGATGAGAGCACCGCCTCCTCAAACCCTTCCATTCCCTTCTAGTTGACTATTGGCCCGCTGCACAAGGAGGCAAACCAGCCCCGTCTGGTTTGAGGTCCAGACGTCGCCGTGGCGGCGTGCTTTGCCTGAACTCTCTTTGAGGGTCAAAGCTGTGGAAGGCAGCACTCGACTGATACTTTCGATTTTGCAGTTTGGGGCTTACATGCCTCGGTATGTAAAGATTTTGAGTTTGGATTTACATGCCTCGATATGTAAAGACACCAAAGGCAAACAGAACTGTCTGCCATGTCTGCCGAACCGCCGCCAATCGATGATGGGAAACTCAACCGTGGGAAACGAAGGGTCCCCAGCAGTCCACCGACACATACAGACATACAAGCATTTCCTGCCTATGCCACTGGATCAAGGTCTGTAGCACAAAATGCGAAAGCTTTATGTACCTGTAAGAATCACGCAGAGGTCAGCCCTTTCAAGGTTAGATGAAAAGCAGTCTCAAAGCGAACTCTTTGTTTTGGTTGGATATAATCTCGGTCAGAAGGTTCGGTCACAAATGTTGGGTTCCCGTGGTACCCAGCATGAAACCCTCAAACCATACACCCTAAAACCTCCTTTGAACCCGGGCTCTGCGCACCCTAAACCTTGAACTCCAAACCCGACACAACCATGCCTCTTCGCCGGCGACCGAGATCTTCTCCGTGGAGGACCTGCATGCGGAGCCCAGAAAAGAGATCCCCATTAGGGTCTCGAGGGTGTACTGCACCTCAATTCCTAGGAGGTGCTTCCGGTAGTATGCCACATGGTAATCTTACATGGGTTGGCGAACAGATGCTGCAGAGACTCTCACAAGACGGAACATTGAACAACATAAAAACCCTGAATAAACCCTAAACCCTACACCCAACCTAAACCCTAAACCCTAAACCCACCCTAAACCCTAAACCCCAAACCCGGTTCAAAGTAAAGGCTAAGGCAACTTAGTGACTTCGTGGCCTTGGGGAGCTGCCGGTGTCCAATCCGCAGAGACTCCCAAAGTTCGGTCGCGCGCACCGGCACCAATGCATGTCAGAGTGGGTTTCTCTCTCCCTGCACCCTTTTGAACAACCCTAAACCCTAAATCCTAAACCCTAAACTCTAAACTCTAAACCTCTCTCTCCCTCCCTCTCTCCGGGCATAGGGGTCGATCAAGATCCTCGGGCTTCTCTTATTCTCTCTCTCTCTCTCTGTCTCTCTCTCTCTCTCTCTCTCTCTCTTCTTCCACAGGGGCAAAGGAGCGTGTCAAGCCCCCTGGCCGCATGGGCCCCCCAGTGTTTGTGGGTACCCGGACAAGGTGTGAGACTGTCTCTCTCTCTCTCCCCCTTCCATTTAGAATAGGTTTTGCGGGCAGCATTTTCCCGTCCAAAAAGGCAAGCAAGCAAAAAGGACTGACTAACAACAAAGTCGTCCGCGAGTCTAGCCCTGCAACGAGCGAAAACTTGCTGTTGCTGTTTTTTTGCCGTGGACAGCACGTAAGGCTTCGATCCCGGGGTTTAGAGGCGGGTTAGAGGGGGCTTATAGGGGGGTTTAGAGGGGGTTCAGAGGGAGTTTGGAGCGGGTTTAGAGGGGGTTTAGAGGGGCCGGGGACTGCCATATCTGGGGTTCGACCCGGATTCCGTGAGGCCCGGCGACTCGGCGGAGCTCTTGCACACAGTGAGACGCCACAACCCCAGCGTCAACCCCAAAGAGAACCCAAACTCCCTAAACTAAAGTCGACACCTTCTTCTAAAATCCTATCACCCTAAACCCAAAACCCCAAAAAAAAAGACCTTTGAATTGAGCAGGGACTAAAGAAAAAGACCTAAAGCCAAAGCCCTAAAGCCCTAAAACCCCTAAATACTTAAACCTCTAAAGCCTAAACCCCTAAACCCTAAACCCTCTACCCCTAAACCCTAAACCCCAAGCCCTAAACCCCTAAACCCGCAAGAGACACCCCTCGGGGCTCCCACTCCGCTTGGACCGCGGCGGAGTCGAGGAGCGCCGACGCTCCGATCGCTTCTCCTGGGGGTCTCGCCTTTAGGGTTTAGGGTTTAGGGTTTTGGGGGACCCATAATACTATAATGTTTGGAGGTTTAGGGTTTAGGGGGACCCATAATACTATAAATATAGTAAAGTTTGGAGGTTTAGGGTTTAGGGGGACCCATAATACTATAAATATAGTAAAGTTTGGAGGTTTAGGGTTTAGGGTTTTTGGGGACCCATAACACTATAAATATAGTAAAGTTTGGAGGTGTCATGTAGGGGCCTTAATGATTAGAAAAGGGTTTTGGGGCCGGTAATATCTTAATCAGGGTTTAGGGTTCAGGGTTTAGGGTTTAGGGTTTAGGGTTTAGGGCCTTAAAAATTAGAATAGGGCTTTGGGGTATATTATAATAGGGAACCCCAGAAGAGTCTTGGTAATTATTTAGGCAATTTAGGCCTCTACATTAACAGTTTAATGTTGTTTTCCCACCCGCCCAGCTGACAACATCGCACTAGAAGTTGGACTGTTCGGGACGGATCAGGGCGAATCGCAGGCTCTGAAGGGAGAAGCCACCAGCAAATAACAAACCGACAATAAAGCGGGGACTGCAATCCGGTCAATCCCCCAGTTTCTAGCGGCACGAAGAAGACGGAGGTACCTTCCTATCCCGAACAAGCCCAAAGTTCAGTTAAAGTAAGTAAGGTTCTTACAGGGTTGCCGTTGCTGTTGCTTGGGTCATTTGGGGCGTGAATCGATATCGTCGATCTGAGGCTGTAGGGTGAAAAACAGACTGGGGACTACCCATAGGCCCCATAGTGGTTCTTTTTTGGGGGTTACCTTATAGGATTCTATATATGAACCCCAAAAAGGAACTACTTTAGGGCCTGTGGGTAAGCATGTTGGGAATAAAACTGCTCCTCGACATGTCTAGGCTTCGGGGCTTTTGAGGCTTAATGCCGTCAAGTGTTTTGGAAGGGGACTAGCATTTTTGGGCGGCAGGGAGAGGGGTGTCGGGTGTGAGCTTTTTGCGGCTTTCCGCAATTTCTGCAGCTCTATGAGCCTTTGGGGAAGAGGTTTGATTGTTGAAAAGTCTCTGGCCAAGAGGACAACACCTTCCGGCCCTCAAGAAAACTCACAAACACAACAACAGCTTTCTTGGCAGCTTGTGCAGGTGAGACTGCATGGTGTAGTGAAGTTGCAGCTTTTAAGCTTCAAGGGTGGCTTTCCGGATTTCAGACAAACAAACCCTTGCAACCCCAAGCCCCAGAGTCCTTGCAACCCGCGAAAATGTGACCCCAAGTTCTTCCCACTTTATTTGGCGAAAGGAGCAAAGCAGGCCGACAGCCTCAAACCCTCAATCCCCCACAGCCCAAAATCCTGAAGTTCTTCCCAACTGGATTGGTTTGTAAAAAACATTTCACAGCAGTTCTCTGGTAACGTTTCACACCGGAATCGCAGCACGGATTGCCTGACGATCAATGAAGCGGCTGTGAGAAAATAGTCTACCTGATCACCCTTCCATGATGTGGGGGCATTGCTTTTCTCACAAACCCTGTGACGTTCTCAATTGTTTCGTTGATTCCAGGCCACTGATACCATGAAGCCAAAGGCCCGCCACAAAGAACCTCAGACCCTCTATGTGCAAACCTGAAGATTGAACCCTGAACCCTAAACCCTAAACCCTGAAGCTCAACTCCTGAAACTCTGAAAGCTTCATCAGCAGGGCTAACCTAACAAACTCGGATGCTCCTTGCTCTCCTTCTTCTTGTCCTTCTCCTTTACAAGGGACTCGGATCTACAGCGCAACTCTAGGGCCTGAATAATGTGTAGACTTAGCATAGAGACATGTGCATTGTGAGAATGTGCATATATGTATATACACAAATGTACAAGGGATGTTGGCTCAAAGGTATCCAGGGCTTCAACGTTTCTGCTTCCAGTTTCCGAAGGGCCAAGGCAGGGGACTGAAAGACCTCGAGTTTAGGGTTTGCAATTTTCTGTACAGCGTGGAACTGTGAGACGTTTGAGCATCACAGAAATCCGTCGGAGCCTCGAGCCATCCGCCCCGCTACCTCTGAAGACGTGTCCGCATGTGCCCGGCTGCAAGCTTGTGTTAATGCAAGCAACAACGCCAGAGAATGGATACATCAATCTTGTCCTGTAACACACACAACTCAAACAAAAGATGTCTCATTCCGAAGCCCCCCTCCATAGCGTACCTGTTTGTGTATATATAGACATACATACATACATACATACATACATACATCCATACATACATTAGGTATGTATGCATGTATGTATGTATGTACGTACGTACTGTCTCTGTGTGCGTGTTGTCGCGACTGCTTTAGTGATCGATGTTACTCATTCACTTGTCTACAATCGTTACTGCATTCGTTTGAGATTGTATTTGTACGTATCTTCTTTATTTATGTTTATATTTATAATGATATGTCAATGCCCCAATGAACATATATATATATATATACATATGTAACAATATCAAATTGCATATATGTATATACACATTAGGTCAGACCATACACACATGCAAACATGCACCAGTCTTATGTCCCACCAAAGACTTCGACCCCCCCCCAACCCGAAGTGACAGCATGCGGGTTTCAGACTTAAGCGGAGCTGTAGTGTTTAGGGATCTTAGTTTGGGGTTTAGGGATCTTAGGGCTTAGGAATGTTTAGGGTTTAAGGATGTTTAGGGATCTTAAACCTCAGTAGTGAAATAAAAGCAGCAGCAAGCGATCGTCGTCGTGAGGGTAATGGTAGCGGTAACGGTAGGGATGAGAGGAGCAGCAAACATCCTAAACAGGACCTAGACTCTAGACTTTCCATCCACCCCTCAGCCGTCTTGGGATTTACGACCTGTCCTTGCCACGTTCTTCCTTCTTCTCCCTCTCCTTGCGTGCAAGTCGTGCTCACTAAAACTCATACGGAAATCTACATAAACGGATGAACATATAGTACAATCAGTCGACTGAGCATAAAACCAATGTTTAAGAAGAAGAATGAAACCTGAAATCACCAACGATAAGAACTACTGCAAAACCGTATCCTTTCACGGCTCCTAGAGGAAATTTAGAGGGTTGCTGAGGGGTGGTTCTACCTACATCATCATCAGCAACATATGTGCCGCGACAACATCCACGACACGCAAGGGCCACAACTTAAATTCAGAGCACGAAGATGCGACACCACATGCCTCATCGTTTACAGAAGACTCATTTGAGGAATGCCGTCAACGCCATGTTGTCGAAGATTGCAAAGATGCACGGCATAGCTGCTCTATTCAGGCGTGCGGAGTTCCACGACAACAAGAGACTGGGCAAAACAAGCCGTGACTATAGTTTGAAGTGCCTTTTGCAGCGGGTTGCATCGTCGCCCCCTCACTCTCTCTCTTTTCTTTCTTTCATTGGGCATAGGGGACGGGTAAGGTCCCCTGGCCTTGTGGCCCCCCATCTGTTATGGGGCTTTGGGGGCAAGTCGGGTATGATTCTCTCTCTCTCTCTCTCTCTCGCAGGCATTCGCAACCGGCCCCTTAAACCCTGAATCTTAGACAACTTAGGCGACAAACCCGCAAGGTGGGGAACACCTTCCCGGCACCGAAGGAGCTCAACAAGTCACACATGCCTTTGCAAAACCACCAGATTTCCGCTGGGCCGGGATAGCTCAATACTATGACGAATTAAGAGTCTGAGCCAGACAATCAGTAGGGCCTTAATTATTAAAATAAGCTCAGAATAGGTTTACAGCAAATTATACTATAATCATAATAATGACCCCTTTGTGAGAACCCTTGCACTGGTCGTTGCCCCCTGCGGATCCCGAAGCTTCCCGAAGCTGGCTGATTCAGGCCCTGCCTTCGGACGCTCCTTTGCTTTCTCCTGCCAATGTAGGGGCCCTAATCATTAGAATAGGGTTTTAGGGCCCATTATACTAGAATTATACCAAGGACCCCCCAAAGCAATATAGGTAGTTATAAAGGCCACTATGTTCATGAGCGGGCTGGACTCGCCATGAGCGCCCAAAACCCAGAAGGAGCAAGTGCTCCAAGCTCCCCAAACTCGCTGAAACCCAAAGGTTGCAGCGATTGAAACCAATGATCTACCTCAAGCCTGCGTTTAAGGTTTAGGGGTTAAAGGGAAAATATAGGGGCTTTAATATTCTTCAGAATGCCCGATGTCCTACTTAGCCGCACGACACCCTGAGGCCCAGCGAAGATGCCTTTGCCGGTTCTGGCTTCTTCAGCTTCTCCTCCACAGAGACAGAGGCGGAACAACTCTTTGATCTCAAATCCTAAACACCGACGACTGCCACGTCACTACCACCGCGACTGACCTCACCGTGCTAAGCGACCTTCTACCCGCACCACCACCCTGTCCACCGCAGAGCACTTGCTCCCCGACAGCTACTGTACTGATAACAAAATAACAAAACATGATCTTAGCCGCATGCTCCACCAATTTGTATAAATCTGCAGTGATCCCGCCAAGTCCACCGGCTATCATATTGCTGATTGTTGGCTTCCCCGAGGTAATCCTTCTCAATGGACAGGTTATACCTCAACTACTCAGCCGACTTAGCCCGTGACCGTTAACCCAAAACGACCACGTAAGATGCGAAACCGCGCCTGAGCTTTGCGCTTCCACTCCACCTGGCCCGCAGCATGTGTAGGGTTCAGACAAGTTGCAGGTCTCTGCCATCGTGTTACCAAACCTTTCTCGGGACACTGTGTACGTACTTTGCTTTGGGTCCTCCCCAGCAGGCGACATCAAACCGTAACCCTTTCTTCGGGGTCTAGCCCTTCTGCTGTTCTCTGCCGGCAGCCTTCACACGCTCGCGTAGCACCAAAGAGGAGCGCTCCTGATTCGGGTTTAAAAGTTTAGGATCTTTCTTCACGGAGACGGCTTAGGGTGTTAAATTATGTAACCATGCCCAGAACACGTCTAAGCGAGCCTTTCGCGCGTCGTGCACAATCGGAGCCGGCGTCCAGCGCACAAAAAGTCTAAAAAACGAACAATTAAACATAAAACACGGACAACGCGAAAAACACGAAAAAACTTGTTTACCATTACAATTGATAACATATGTACTGTTTACTATTTACTATGCACTATGTACTGTGCTTACTCTGTTTCGAAGCGATGGACTTGGTGAATGCCAGCACACATGACAATTGCACGTGTACTAGTGGTATACTAAGCATTAGTATTAGTATTACTATATGACTATGACTATTGCTATTACTAGCACTAGTTGGGTGTTGTACGTTTACACGTGTTCCGGTTTGTTTCGTGTGTTTGCGTTTCTTCGTCATGTTTTTCGCGTTTTGCGCCAGGATAACTACAGGTAATAGTCATACTTACTACCACTATTGCTGTCACTAGTACTATGTGCCATTACTATTACTACTACCACTACTACCACTACTACCACTACTACCACTACTACCACTACTACTACTACTACTACTACTACTACTACTACTATTACATTTACTTTACTGTTGCTGTTGTAGGGGATTGGAATCAGACGCCTGCGGGCAAGGTGCCACCACCTCGAGACGTCAAGCCTGTCTGAAGAGTAGCACTCGTGCCCACACTTGTGGAACTACGGGAGCCAACGCCAACGCCCTCAACTTTACAACTCGACACTGAGCCGGCACTGAAGGAGGGCCAGCAATGTGCACGTCCTCCTGTTCTGCTTCGCCGCCGCCCTCCTCACTGACCTTCTTCTTCGCCTCGACGGTATGCCATGAAAGCTCACTGGTTACGCCATCGCACAACACTTTGACTCGGTTGCTCAGTGGATGGATTGAAGGTGGGTCAGAAGTATGAGAAATTGCGAAATTCAGTAGTAAAGTACTCATAATAACCCTCTAGTACTCAAGTGCCCCTGACTGCTCGCGCCAAAGCATGTAAACCACCACTCCGCGCGACCCTGCACCTCAAGACCCCTCTACGCGATCTGTGCTAAACTGCTAAACCTGAAACTGAGGACACCCCGGCCTTCAGCCCCACGGCCCCAAACCGGAACCAAACCCCCTGAGTTCGAAAGCCCTAAAGCCCTCAAACCCCTGGCTTGCCCAAAATCATCCAACATCCTTGTCAAACCCTCAAGGGCCCACCTTCTCCGTCTTCGGCTCTTTCTTCTTCGCACGTGCCTGACAGGGATGTTTGGGGGAAGATGTAAGGTTCGAAGAAAGGACGATCAGAGGAGTGTATAGGATGCCAAGGAAGTGTTTGGTTCAGGTTTGTGAAAATCTACCAATCGGGACATTCTGCTTTCTGAAAATGCTGGAAAATGTGCATCTGAGATCTGCTTTGTTCGGCCTCTGCCAAAGTGCGACAATGGTCCGTTTTGGGTACGTTGGGGTCCTGTTGAATTGCGTATTGGATTCATTTGGGGGGTGTTGTGTCCCCCAAAAACCAAAACGGACCACCCCAAAATAGACCGCACGGACAGACCCAATGCACCAATCTTGCGGACATGTGTGTTGCTAATCGGCAGACTTCAGCAGGCATGTAGTATGTGGGTAGGATAGGTGCTAAACCCTAAACTCTAAACCCTAAAGGGTAGCTTTTTATTCTGGCTGCGGCAGCTCTCTGCAAGTGGATGCTCCATGCAGAAGAAAGCAAAGAAGATTCGTGCGCCTGCGTTGTCGGTTTTTTAGGGCTTCTTCTCTTGGCCCACGATGGCTGATTTAATCGAGTTTTCCGAGTGATGGGTGTGCCCGACTTCGAGGACGGTATCTTCAAGTTGCTCAGAAACGGGAGCCTCGAATAATGTATAATAATTAGAATAGGGTTTTGGGGCCCGATAAACGATAATTATAATCAGGAACCCCCACAATAGTTTTGGCAATCATTAAGGCCCCTTCGTTACAGCCCCAAAGCCTTGCTACAAGTATCAGGGCTCTTGGCAAGAAGCCTTGACTCGATCCACCTCGAGGCTCGTATAACAACCCCCTACCTGCCCTCGATCTGCACCGAAATTTCTCGGACGACCCCGGGCTTCTTATAGGGTTTAGGGTTTCGAAACCCTAAACCCTAACCCCAACCCTATACCCTAAACCCTAACCCCTAAACCCCTAAACCCTTTAGGGCTGATGGGAGGAGAGCGCAACCCAATCACAAACTCAACCCCAAGCCCCTTCCTCGAAGCGCCATCCTGCGATCCCCACTCTTAACCTCTCGAGCCCCAGCCCAGACGAGCCGCCCCAGATTCCGAAACTCCAACGGCATAAGACCCTTAAAGCCCTGAAAACCTGCAAGCCCTAAATACCCTAAACCCTAAACCCCTAAACCCTAAACCCTAAACCGTCTAAATAGTCTAAAGTAGTCTGAACTTGGTCTTTCGCCTTTGGCTTCTCGACTTTCGTCTTCCTCTTGCTCGCCTCGCGGTCCCAAACAGAATCTCTCATGTGGTTTAGGGTTTAGGGTTTAGGGTTTAGGGTTTAGGGTCACTCAATGGGAACAGGTTCGATACCGCAAGTGAGGCTAGCAATTACGCAAGCCATGGGAAAACGTAGCGACGTTGGAACTCGTTGGACGGGGCCTGACAGCGAGAGCGAAAGAGGCACACTACACCTCCACCTTCGCCACCTCCCTACACACCTTTTGCCTCGCAAACGTCACTTCCGCAACATTTTGCAGCGGGCTCGCTTCGTCGCCCGGGGGGGCTCCCTCTTCCGCAACATAAAACTTGGACTTTGCAGACATGCTACTTGTTTCGACTATAGTTCTCGTGCTCCTGTTCTTATTCAGGACACCACCCGGCACATGCATGCCTTCCGAATCAACCCTGCTGTCTCGGTGCTCAGGCCGTTGGATTTCAGCAAAATTGTTCTCAGCTTCGGTGGAAACGTCGTATTCTCCAGCACTGGCCTCAGGTCTTCGGTGCCCAGCTCATTCGCTTGCAGATGTGCCATTGCCAGGTCAGGCATCTGCTGCAGAAGCCCGAAGATCGCTTTGCCTTTCCCTGGCCAGCCCGGTGTCTCTTTGAAATGGAATACCCGCAGCCCTCTAGGCGGGTTGGCCTCGAAGCACCGAAGCACCCCCTGGGCATCGACCCGGGGCCCGCCAGAATATTTGAACCACTCCAAGCGCGACAGGTCGGGCATCGCTGCCGGGAAGGCGGCACCCAGCCCAGAGACGAATTTAACCGATAACCTCCGCAGGGAGGAGGCCTGCCCCAAGGCCTGCATCAGCTGCTTCGCAACATCGTGGCTCAACTCCACGAAATGAAGCCAGACGATGTCCAAACCAGACAAAGCTTTGAAGACCAGAGAGTCACCGAGCGCAGCGCCCTTCATCGTGAAGTGCTCGATGAACAAACGCTTCAACTGTTGCAATCGTGGAAAGCCCTGAAAGAGCTCCTGCCTCGGAGAGAGCATGTGCAAACTAGAAAAGGCGGGCATCAGTGACCCCGACATCTAGAGCGCAAGCGTCTTAGCGAAACAGCTGCTCAATACACTTGCACGTCCGGAAAGAATCCAAAGTTCTGACGAAGAAACCGGGACGGAAACGTATGAGCCCAAGGCACCAATAATCCACTGCGGCCTCTTTAGCTACAGGGGCGCAGCGGTCGCACAACAACCGCACTGTTGAAACTTGTGTTGCAAGGCTCAGCGCAACGCCCGCCCGGCCCACTTGGACGGCGTCCCGGAGGCTGAACAGAACTTCATCCACATCTGCAAACGCAGCTTGCAAGTCTTGTAGTTCCAAGTCGCTGATTTCGCTCAGTACCTGGCTGTGGCAAGTTGCGAAAGCTTCCAGCATTTCTTCGGGCTCGCCCAAACTGGCCACACCTTTCAGCACTTTTACAGATGGAGATGCCACCTGCCACACCTGTGTCGACACGTCCTTTCGAAATCGTTCCGCTTCATCCTCTGGCATCCGTCTCTGAACACGTGACAGAAACTCCGCGCCATCTGCGCCTTGTCCCATCAACTGTGTCAGGAACACATTGATAGGGATCTTAGCAGAATGCCTGTTAATGCCGAGTTCTTCGCTGTCGTAATTGAAGAGGTATTCGAAGTTGGTGCATGCCCCAAACTGCAGAAGAGAGACCAGCACCTTTACAATAGCGCCAGGCGCCAACAGGGGCGCAACGCTGTGGGTACCGGAGCCCCATGAGAAGGCAGATGCGCCGCCCAAGGCTTGGTCGTCAATGAGCTTGCAGAGAGCCGTGGAGTTCTCGCAACCTAGCTTCAGCAAGAGGCGTAGGGCATCAGCTGAAGACAGAACTGCGTTCATCTGCATCTCACCACTCCGATTCTGCCACAAAATCCTTGAATGAGGATTGGAAGCCTACAGCAATCCTAAATCACTCAAAAAGCACCATCCACTAGACCAGGCAAACACTCTTTCCAAACATGGCCAAGCGATCTGGCAGCCATGCGCTTCCACCGCCCAAGCTGCGGGCGAATCGACTCCGTGGAACTCGGTTCGGACCCGGCGCAGTGGCGCAGACGGCCACAGCTCACCAGAATAGCGCGGCTCCACGTTGAAGCGCGGTGGGTCCTCTGCTTGGCCGGTCCAGGCCGAGAGCTTCACCTGAGATGTAAAAAGGTGCCTCTCATTAAAAGCCAAATCCTCTCCGTTGTTATACATACTTGCTCAGGAGTCCTCCCCGTTCCCATTATTCACAAAAGCAGCTCACCTTCAGGGGCCGATCAGACATCGGCCCGTGGCGTCCGCAGATCTTGTATCGCTCTTGCAGGAGGCCGCTTTCTTTGCACCTGCGAGCGCGACTGAACGTCGCTTCGTCCATCTTGGTGAAATTTTCTGCAGATGCACAAGTCCAAGTAAATTGAAACTTCAAATCTGCTATGACCGGCATGACCACCAAGTGCATGGACAGCAATTGCGTGGGGTCGTACTTGGAAATTTGGATGACGAGGTCTCCCTCGGAGTCGACGAAAGCAGTGTTGCTCAGTGTCTTCATAGTGCTGTCCGCGTCAGGCATGCCACCGGACTCTATAAGCACCTGGCTGATCACATCGGAAGCATCAGGGATGCCACGATGTAGCTGGACTGTTGCTGTCACGGCATCAAACCTCTGCTCGCCGACCTCCAGTGCCAAGGCGAAGTCCAGGCTCCCTTCCTTGTGAGTCCAATCTGGCCGGACATTTTCGAATCGTAGGACCCGCTGTGTGGCGTGGCTGAAGCCGCACGTTCCGTTCGCCTGAAATCTGCTGACGGTGAACACTTGTTGCCGAGTTTCCTAACACTAGGATGCAGAATTCACGAGGGCTCTGGATCGGTCTCGAAACGCCAGGGATGCAGACCAGCTGGCCCTGTTTCCGATTCGCGGTGCCTATGAACAATCAGTGACCCATCACCACCCAACACAGCGACACCCAACACAGCACTCCAGCTGCTGGGAAACCCGTCTAACCCCAAAGCACCCAAAATCCTAAAACTGAAGCTCCAAATCCTCCTGAACCCCAAACCAGCCTTGATCTGGCAGCCGGTCAGAACGGCACTCAGGGACCGCGCCCCCGCCGCTTCCAAAAGGGGAGAAACCTGGCCCGATTCTCGCGCGCGGTGGTCGTTGTAGGCCATGAAGCAGCCTGAAATAGGGCTATCCCAACTCCAAGCCTTGTGCGCGCCTCTCAGACCAGGTAACTGGTATTTTAGGAACAAGTTTCAGGAGAACACGGCAGAAAAGGCTCGTCGCACCTAGACCCGGATTGCAAGCAGGACTGCTGAAGTTCATGCTTGTGTGCTGACCTTGTAGCTCCTGGCATCTTTGCTGTACTTCCACTTTAGGCCTCGATCAGCCCCCGACGAATTCGCAACAATGGCGCCTCACAAAACTATGCATCTTGCTCATGTAACTAAATTGCCACTAGAAGCTCTGGCCTTTGCTACCTGCCTCGGTTCCTCAAAGAATGTTGCTTGTGCCCAGGAGCCGACGCGTGCAGGAAAATGCATGAGGCAGTTCATGTCGTGCGAGCATGCTTCTTCGCAGGAATCTACCCGAGCAAACACGGTCCACTCGTCAATGTCTGGTGGTGTGTCATTTCGGCTGACGGGGAGCCCTAGGAAGAAATCCGTCAAGGCTACCTGGGCTGCTTGCTTCTGTTGGCAATCTTGCGGCTCTAGGACCTAGCGTACAGAAGTTTCTGACAGGGAAACGGATCCGTTGGGAGACTCCCATTCAACACGGCATTCAAGTCACCGTAACGTTGAATGTTTCTACATCCTCGGGCAGGCTGATCCTTGATCCAGGTAGGGTCGACCATGCCGTGGTCCTGTTGAAGCGAACGCTGCTGATGTGAATCTGTGATGGCATCGTCTGCAACGGAGAGAAGCGCAAACCTCAACTGCTCTCGAACGAATTTCCACAAACACAGGAAGGGGCAGAACGCACAAACACAGCCCAGGAACTGTAGGCTGTGGGAGGCAGTGAGGGGCGAAGCCCCTGAACTCGCACCGTGGCCACTCTAGGATGGAGCTGTGCATCTGACAACTTCACTTCCGTGACGGCTGCGCCGGTGTCGTCTTCAATGTCTGTGCTAACGACTGACGCTTGGCCGGCCAGGTCTGCCGGCTGTTGTGCGGACACCCATTGCGTAGATGGCGCATCAGCAGACGCGATGAGTGCAGCCCGCTTAAACGACACGTCGATGTCAATCGCATAGTTGGCCTGAAGACATTTCACTTTGGCAAGGGGGCTGCAATAGCTCTGTACGGCGTGGGCATGCCGGGCGGTAGACACTACAGCCCAGCCGAGCGTAACATAGTGTAACTGAAGCTCCAGGCGGTGAAAACTGGGTAGGTAGACCTGTATGGTTGGATTTCATTCAAATAAGACGCACTGTGACGTGTTGTGCAAATGCGGAGTACACTGAGTACACGTGATCGAAGCATTCATCGATGACTCTTCCGACTCAGCATAACAAAGCAGTGCTCAGAATGTTCCTATCCATCTAGGACACGACACACGCGCGAATATGCCTGAATATGACACTCTTCAAACCGACTCAAACACACCGAGGCAACCTAGGAGGACGCACCAAACCTTCACGCTCGCCATCGCTCGCCTGTGAGCTCACTTGGGCCCCTTTTGCAACTTACATGCCAAGACGAACTCACGACGGATGCATCTATGGGCTTCTTAAAGTGACGGATCCTCTCTCGGGGACCCGTATAAAAAGGATCCATATTGCCCCTCATGGCCCTTAACTGCCTGAATTTCCGACCTGTTTCGCTGCCCAGCCTGCCAGGGCTCGAATTTCAGGCTGTGCAACGAACTGGCCTGGGCTGTTCTGAAACCTCAAAGGTCTTCTGGGTGTTTGCAATCACCACGAAAAGCCGTTTTCTGAGGCATTCTTGCACAGTTGTTTTCAAACCCAACAGGCAAGCACCGAAAACATGCCAAAAACAACATCGCCCGCAACCCCGAGCCCTGTACACCCTCTGTGAGGCGGGGCTGCAGCGCACATGCCCTCGTGCGCGCGGCTTCAGCATTTGTGCCTGAAGGCCCGCCCAGCTTATGTCCTCTGTATATCCAGGCCTCTCACCCCGATTGGGAACTCCAAACTCTTGACAGGCTGCCATAAATGTTTTTCGCAGTATCAAACAACTAACTGCGTCTCGACATGATAACACACTTCATCGACATGATAACGCACTTCATGTGTGACAAAGAACTGGAATGAAACCCTACATCCTCATCATTCACACCGATAAACACCCCCATATCGTAGAGCCCTTAGAGTACCTAATTCGCCTCGGCCCCGGCCGAAGCGGTCAGAGGTTCCTATTCGGATTTCCTCTATTCCCCACCTCTTAAGCCTCTTAATCCCCTCCCCAACCCCCACCCCCTAAAACATATATCGGGAGGGGGTTTGGGGGGGGGGGGGTGGGGGGGGGTGCCTCTGTGTGAACCCATAAAGGCCCCAAGGTCCTGCGGTGCAGTCTCGCCTCCTCCCATGGATTTGGGCTCTGTAGGGAGTCCCACCCACCCAAAATTCCTGCCCCTCCGGCTGGAACATCCCCCCCCCCGATCCCTCCGCGTTGTTTTGTACGCAGTCTCCTCCCTTCACCTGTCCTCGTCTGCTCCGCCAAGGCAGTTCGTTGGCCCTCTTTGTTTGCGGCGGGGCCGAGGCGGACGACGCGAAGCGTCTAAATTTGAACTCTTAACGATACCGAAACATCAACCATGCCAGCCCCCATCTCGTCCGAGCGACCAAGTCGAGGCCCGAAAGCTCCGCGCACGAGCAGGTGTAGCTCGCCACCTGTAGTCCGGTTACGGCGGCAAAGAACGCGATCAAGAGGCCAAACCCGGGCAAGATCAGGAAGCCTCCAGTGCATGTTGCAAGTGTGGCATTTGGTGCGAGGGTACGAAGCCTACGTAGGCGTTCAGGATTTAGTGCTTTCGGCTCTGCAAAACTTTGAGGCATTGAGGCTTTGACGTAGGAGTTCTGCAATGCCACTCACAGGGTTGAAATCTCTGCCCGTCTAATTACACCTGTCTGGTCTGGTGCTTCAAGTCAGGTCTGTATAGTTCGTAATAGTTCGTAGTGAAGCAGCCCCAACCCACAAGAACATACGTGGAAGAGCCCGCTATAGTTGGGGAATACCACTGAGATCACANNGCACTGATATAGTGTTCCGTTAAGTGGTAGCAAGGCTCAATACACCATGGCGTAAGTCACTTCTTTTCCCTTGCTAGAGCACTGCAGCGACAGTCATCCAAACAAGTGCACAAGGGGACAATACTTTACACGTGCATAATCTACATCCGCGACTGGATCCTGTCCGGGAGATACCCAACTAACCAGAACCTCGTGCTAGGAAGTTAACCTATCACTCTTTTGGGATTCTTTATCTTTGGGGAAGGGTCTAGAGTCAAAGTGATTTGATTCTGCACGATCAGTAATCTGAATGTCCCTCACCTCACATGCAAACCCTAAACCGATTTCCTGTGATTCAGGGGGCGACAGTCGTGCTGCTGCGAAACGAAGATGCCGACACGAACGGTCTGTGTGGATGCGGATATGAACATGAGTATTGCATATTCAGGCATAAACCGGCCTTGTTTAGGTCTTTGCCTATGGGTTGCGTAGAGTTAGGCTATGTGAGCTGGAAACTATGTTGCACTATCGTGCAATGAGGCTGCATAGTTCTTCCGCCTAGAGCTGCAAGGCTGCAAGACCGATGCCAGAACCAATCTCTCAGAAGCAAACCCTTTTTGCAACAGGTCTCGTTGTCCAGCAGCCCGGAAACAAACCCGAAAATTCGAAAACCTATCACAAGCCAGTGTTTACAAGGGGTCCATCCAGGAAGTGCTATAAAGAATTCAGGAGCACCCAGTCTTTTGGGAGCCGGCGTTTCACTGGATACCCTCGCCTCGCCTCCGTAAGATCCCGTTAGTTGCAAGACCACACGTCGATGCCAGGCGAGGTCCCAAAACAAAGCGAAGTCCTCGGAAAAAGACGTCTCTTTCAAGTGAGGCCTACATGACGAACTGCGAAAGCCACGTATTCCGTGCCATGGCATACATACAAAAGCACTTGACTGAACCGGATGTTCAGCGTTTCATCCGGCTACTAACGCCAAATTCTGGATGACAGCCTCGTCAGTAACCCTCGAGTTGTTGCTTGCGAAGCGTCGGATGCACTACCGGTGTCAATCTGCTCCATGAAGTCCAAACCAGCGCGCCCGGTCGCGACAGCCTTTTGGTGTCACATACAGGGAAGCGGCATGACCTTTGGGTTAGAATTTAGAAATCGAGCGACGATTCGCCATGTTGTGGCCACTTGCCATAACCTGCACGAGATCCTGAAACCTTGCAGGGCAACCAACCTCGAGCGACATGTACACAGAACTGCTCCGTTTTATCATCCTTTATCCCGTGCTTCCATTTACCAGACACTGGAGAAGTATCAGGCACCGGAAGCAAGGATTCGGGTTTCTGCAACTTCTGGCCAGGCCACCGTCGGCCAGGTCATTTGCCGGATCTTGGGCAACTCCTCGGACCGGAGCTTCGCCAAGTTTGTGTGCACCCTCTCCATCTCCGACTCCACCTGGCCCATTTATCATTAACACGGTGCGGTCGTGAGTTCATGGGCTGTTCGCACCAGTAGCTTTTCAAGAGGGTTGCGAAAGTATGTTGCTCCGTAGTGTACTCGGCTGGCCTAGAAGCTTTCCAAGAAACAAACAAAAGCTGCTGACCTATCCAACCTCCCCGGCACCTCCCTTGCGTTCATGAGCGCATTCAGCAAAGTGGAGGCTGGACCTGCTAAGGCCATGAGCACTAAACCGGCGGCTGCGAGGTTCTGGGCATCTTGAAGCAGCCCAAAGGCATAGGCGACGAAAGCGATCAGCAGGACGATGTCCAGATTTTGGGAAGGGGTCGTTGTGATAAAAATGCCCTGCTGCAGGCATGAATGGCTCAGCTGCTTCTTGCAGAGGAGGTTAGTCAATCGTAGAAGTCCAAGGACTGCGAAGACGAAGGGGAAAGTGACCACGAGCCACACTTTGACCTCCGAGGCCGCCTGCTTCTGCAAAAGGACGAAGGCAACCGTCTGCAAGGTCACAATGGTCATGATGAAGCAAGCGCACCGACTGAAACCTCCCAAGTCATGCCAGAAACCCCGACGCAAGAGCGACTTGATTTAGAAGCGACGCAGTATCAAGGACACAGCCTATTTCGAGCAGTTAGCGACATTATCCGCTGGGAGCCCCTGCAGAGCTGTACGATTGCAAAATGGCGTCTAAAACCGAAGGTCACCGTGTGAGGCCAAGCATGGCCAAGCCACCAGAAAGGAAGTTCTTCAAAGGCGTCTGCAAGTACACCACATCTTCCGGCCACACGGATGCCTATGGCGCAGGCAGGTTCTACTCTCCTGTGAACGGGCGATGACTTCTCGCCTTCTTTGCACAGCAAGTCGGACCCCAAAACAACAAACTCAGGGATCCAGCAAATAAATGCACCTCAATCAGAGCGAGATGCATTGGCCCGCCCTAACACCTGCGCCCGGCGGGTGGCATACGCCGCCTCGACCGCTAGCAGCCCAAGCAGCAGCGGAAGCGACATCAGCGCCAACACAACGTAGTTCACGGTAGATGGCCAAGGGCCTTACTTGCCCTATTTGGGCCTACATTCGATCGGGTTTGCTTGTCGACTTGCTGGCTATGTGTGTGTATATATATACATATATATGTAAACCCTGTGTGTATATATATATATGCATAGAAACATTGGCTCATCTGTTTGGACCAACACTTGTGCACCTGCTTGTGAATTGTTTGGTGGTTTAGCATTTGGACCAGGTCTGTAGCCCTGATGCTCAAAATCATAAGCTCCTGTCAAGCAGATGCTTGGAGCAGGCTCCTCAATCTACAACATGGGGGCTGAGCCTCAATAGTTTGAACGGCATAAGGTTTTCGGGTCCATCATAATGGACATCATATTGGGCTTATATACAATATGGGCGAGGCTACGGGGGTGCTACCCCTGTTTTGAATGCTGGACTCTAGAGGGTACGAGTAGGGTGCACACCCTTGCTGCCCAGGTGCATCGTCGTTCAAAGGAGGCCTGGAGGCTATGGAGCTTCAGCGCCAAGGCTGAAGGTAACCAGGAAGCCAAACGTCCCAAGACCTCAGAAAGTGAAGTCTAGGACTCCAGGGTTTTTAGGGTTCGGCCTCAAAAACCTTGCAACCTGACAATACATCGACAGTCGATGTTGCGTCCTCCTATTACGGATGTCAGGCGAGGCTAGTCTCCCGTTCCCAGACAAAAGTGTGAAACGACTTGACTTTCCGGTCCAATCGTATGTCCAAGCAGAGCAAATGCAGCAGAGGCAAGGCTGCAAACGCAAGAAGTCCAGTCAGAGCTAGAATCGTAAGAGCTTGACTACACAGCAACAGCACAGTGCGGAGCAAACCCCTTTGGCTACACACTCGTTGAACTGTACCAGAAGGACCAATCTTGAGCAGTCAAGCAGCGAAGTGAACAAAGTTGACAAGAAGCCTGGCCTAACAGCATGACAGTGGAACCTGCAAAGTGGTCGTGGGCACATCCCAAAATGCGACACAAAAATAGTCAAGGTCTAGTTCCCGGGACAGTGTAGGAAAGTTGCCCGGATTGCTAAGCTGTTTTCTGGTAGAAGCTTGTACTGCCGCTCACTGGTTTCGCATGCGGAGTCGACGGATCTCATGCGGCCTCCAAAACTTTGGATGCTAACTCTTGTCGCTTCCGGATCAGCAACTCAACCTACAAATCTCCCCTGCTCTGAAAAAACTCCTATACGGCCTATACGGGGGTTTCCGAAAATAGGGGACCCTAATATAGTACCCTAAATAATAGGATCCTTATTATAAGGACCCCTAAATAAGGTACCCTAATTTTCGGAAACTCCCTAATACGGGCAGATAAAGATCGAGTCAAACAAGGCGCATCGAGGCCCGGAGGACCTTCAAGGTTGTCCAGCTTGCATAAACATCTCGGTTCCTCAAGGGTAGGGGTTTAGGGTTTAGG